CTAAATTTTGCTATCCTCCTCTACCTACTTGCCCCCACCCCTTCTCTGAAAACTCCGGTTTACCCTCTCTCTTTACCTTCACATCTACTATATTTACCATTCCTAATCCTTTCCTGTCTTTTATTCATTTGCCTCACACTATCTCATTCCTTCAACTCTTCAAAACCCATCCCTCCCAACTTTCTTTGTTTTTCCTATTCATGCGGCTTCATTCCTCTGTCCTTAAAGAACTGACTTCATTCTGTTTCCTAACCTGTTAGTTTCTTTTCCCTCTCTGCTCTTTAGTTCACATCTCTTAAGCACGTCTGTGCAATTACGCTAATTCCCCTACCTTCCTCCAATCTCCTCTCGAATCCCCCCGCCCTTCCACTTGCCCTATTCCTTATTAATTCCCTCTGTACCTCCTCCATCGCTGAATACTCTGGTATCCTCCCTTCTACTCCTAGCATCCTTCTCATGTATCTTTCATGTAACCTCTCTACTTCTTCTTTTTCCTTTCATCTCTATATCTCCACCCCATAACTTAATACTGCCCATATCAACCTGTCAAACAGCCAAATCTTTCTTTTCCAGTCTTTTCCAAATCTCTTTTTACCAATCCCCCGCAATTGTTCCGTTATACTTATTGCTTTTGCCACCCTATCCTTCACGTATGTCTCCTGCCTTCCATTTCTGTGCATCACGTATCCAGATATTTAAATTCATCTACTTTATTTTCCAAAAATTTATTAGTTATTAGTTTTTTTATTACCTCATCGTGGGATAAGAAATTTTATTTTTTGCTTACTTTGCCGCATTGTAAGCGATTTTTAATTTTGTTTACCCTGTCACGGGGTAAGGAATACTATTTTTTACTTACCCTGCCACAGGGTAAGCAATTTTTAATTTTGGTTACCCTGTCACGGGGTAAGAAATTTTATTTTTTACTGTCATCCCCTCTAAAATTTCGCACTTCTCTTGTCCCCTTTTCCAACAATGGCACCACTATCTCCTCTCTCCAATCTTCTTGCTAACCTTCTCTATCCCATACTCTATTACACAACCTAACTCCTATATCTAATCTTCTAACTCATCCCCATCATATTTCTATACTCCTGGTATTCCATTAATATCCACTGCCTTTCCATCTTTAATATTTTTCTTTATTCTCCTAATTTCTTCCTTGTCCAGCTCCTTCTCCTCTCCTATACTTTCCTCTTGTCCTACTTCTCTTACCACTCTTCCCTTCACTCCTTCCAACAGATCCCTAAAATATTCATTCCATTTCATTCATCTCTTCTATT